AGAGCCTCTGCTCCAAAGGTCACGTGCTGACCACTGATAGGTAAAAGAAATAGAGCAAAATTAATTAATATGGCCAAACCCCCTATGGATCAGAGGTGAGGGATCAACGCTAAAGCTAACTCATCTGCCAACGAAACAAAGAATAAAAGAAAGAGAAAGAGAGAAAGAAAGAAAGAAAGAAACAAATAAAAATTAAAGAAATAAAGATGGAGAGGAAAAAAAGAAAAAAAGAAAGGAAAAAGTAAAAAAAAAAAGGAAAAAGTGAAAAAAAAGGAAAAAGTGAAAAAAAAAGGAAAAGGTGAAAAAAAGGAAAAAGTAAAAAAAGGAAAACTTGAAAAAAAAAAGGAAAAAGTGAAAAAAAAGGAAAAAGTGAAAAAAAAAAGGAAAAGTGAAAAAAAGAAAAAAAAAAGGAAAAAGTGAAAAAAAAAAAAGAAAAAGGAAAAAGACTTCTATCACTTACTCGTGAAAGGCTAGCTTCCCGCCTCTTCTGCCGATCATTTTATCGATTCGCTCTGTGTTTGAAATAATAATCTTTCCTTTCTGGCTGCGATTTGAAAAGTTGTTGTTTCTGGTGCTCATGTAATGATATGTTCCTATTCCCGTCACTTTCTTCGGTCCCAAGTCAAAATATGTTCCGGCATCATCCAGCTCTGACATTTCACCTCCAAACTGACCTAATAGTTTTAAAAATGAATTATCATACGTTATCAAACGTATCATAAATGGTAATAAATTATCGCATATCACTATCATAAATCATCATATATAACCATACCTATCATATATTATCATATATAGCATCGTTTATCATCACATACATCGTGCATTGTCATACATACTCACACATTACGAGTCATCATACACCATCGTAAACCACCACATACTTCCTTGTTTAGCATGAATGGTGGCACCATTAATCCTGAATAAGGGAGTCCATAACCTACGTGTAGCTGCACCCTCCCCCCCCCCTCCGGAGGAGAAACAGAAGGGATGGAACGTCCACGAAAACCTGAAACAAATCGTGATCAGTGACGTCACTCTTTTGCAAGAAAATATACGACTTTTCTTTGCTTAACCGTTTCGTCCAATGCTTTCGTAAACTCTGAGTGACGTCAGAGATCACGATTGGTGTCAGGTTTTCGTAGATGTTCCCTCCCTTCCGTTTCTCCTTAGCGGGTGTGACGATATTTCGTTGGTTTTACATGAAGTGTTGTTAGCCGAGATATGTGTGTGTAGCCCGGATGAAAGCGTGTTCAGTTTGTTATTCTACTTAACGCAAGCTAAGGAGTCAACATGAAGGAAACGTCAACTTCACAGGGCCTATTCTTTTCAAAAAAGAGTGAGAAGACTCTGGAAACCTATGCTGTTGATAGTAAACTAGGCGCGACAGCAAGGCCCGCGAAAACACACGTGTTTTAGAATCACTCGTTAACTTATATCAGTCCTAGATGTGAAGGCTAAAAGGCAACTCAAAGGTTCTGTGACCATACTCACTGTTGTCTAAGACCGCCAGGTTATGCAGACTGTTCTTATCCAGACCTAAAAAGGTAGTACTGTCCAGATGTGGGGGATAATTTCTACCCCATTCGTTCTCCTTCAATAGGACTACGTTTGATCGGTCTGTTCCGGCTTTTCCCTGGCCATCGTTGTTGTTGGGCTTCGTGTTTGAACCAGTCCACCTGGAGATGGATAGGATTCACATCAACTCTCTGTGCCAATATTGTCCCAATAATGGAGCTAATAAAAATATTTTTAACCGACTGTCGAAAGTGGGTTCCGTTTGCTTTGCCTTAATTCGCTCTACGATTGGTCTAGAAAACTCTCATCACCGCCTCAACCAATCAGATCCAAAACTGAAACCAACCGCGTCTTGCGAACCCGCGTTTTCCCGCGCTTCAGGTAATTTGCTTGTTCCTTCGCTCTGATTGGCCGTCATGATTTGGTTTTCGTTTTAACAACACTCAGTTACAAACACTCAGTTACAAAACAACACTCAGTTACAAAACGCATAATGTCAACCCTCAAAGAAAAAATTGCTCCATAGTTTCACTTACTGGAAGTGGATGTAGTCGCCATCTTTCACGAACATAGAATTGGGAAAAAAGTCGTACTCTACACCAGGATAAACTTGAACAATGTTGCCGCGCTTCCCACGAACATTTAAATTGTGAATATGGACACCTTCCAGATCAGATGGCCGTGGACGTACTGCGAATGTATGGGACCTGGGAAAGAAAAGTAATGATGACTTTAGAGGTAGTAGATCGCTTAAAATAATCGTTACGATGAAACGACTCAGATTCTGAGAAAGGATGGACCACGAGTGTGAAACTTGGCAATTTGTGGAATAAACGCTTGTGAACAGGATCCGGCTGGAAGGACCGAGGAGGAACTGGTTCCGAGCGAGGAGGCCGGTGTGAGAGGGAGAAGGAAATAGGGGTCGGTCGGTATCCTAACAGTTCCACGCCCCTGACTAGAGAGCCTGGGTAGGAGACACAATGACTTAGCGCCACTACCCCTTTTTAACGCATGTGTATTGTTTTCAATATCGTCATAATCAACGTTACAGGAGCGTAGCTGGAGAGGTCCTAGGCTGCTGGTGACCCATCCCCTCCCATTGTGAAATAATTTTTTTCTTTAATCAACCGCACATTGACATGATAATTCAGAATTGGGAAAACATGCGTATTTGAAAATCTTCAGGGCATAAATCTTATTGTGTTAATGCGAGCCCGCTGATGGACAGCAGCATCAATAACTTCACTTAGGGAGGGTAGAAATTCGTAATTGTGCCCCCCGCCACAGAATAAAAACGATATAGTTATCTTTGCGGTGATCGTTATCTTGTGGGGAAAGTTAAGAAGTATCACGGACCCACCTGTCTTGAAAAACTCGGCCGTGCTGATTTGTATTGATTGCTAATCTGAGCTTCAAATCAAAAGACGGGAATAGCTTTACTTCAGGCTTCTGTTTGTAAACGTAACCTCTTTGGGCTGCCACTGTTTTGTTCATTCCGTACTTCTCTCCGACGTCAAGCTTTATTCCATTCACAGAGCTGTTTACTGATGAGTTCCACCCGTCATAATCACCAGTGGAAATATTGTACCTGAAGGAAAAATTCATTAGACGCAAACTAATAAGGATGGAAAATCTCCTTGATGGGAAAATGCGAATTGAACTTTTGTAACTCACGCAACTCAGCGGTCACAAGTCGGGCATGCAAAAGTGGATAAATTTCACCCGGCCGCGCGTCAATTTCCCGCGGAAAATTTTTACAGGAAAACATGAGCATCAACTGCTGTCAGGCAAAATTCAACAAAATATAAGAAAGAAAAAAAAGATAAGCTCTTACAAATCTGTAAAAGGAAGGAAAAGTAGGGGAATGAAAAAGTCGAGACTTTTCGAACACTAAGTTCACCAAACAAAAGGTATCCACGTGTATTACCACTTTGTTGTAAGTTTTATTAAAACAGATGACCTTCCTGGAAAGTTAAAAAAAAATATGTACACACAATATTCAGAGGTTTGGCCTTTTCCTGTAATCATGAATGTGTAACTGAAACACTACGCTCAAGGGTTTCAATTCTGCACGAATCAGAGACAAAGCCTTTACAAGGAACCTCACCTAATTCGCAAAACGCAATTTTCGTGATTCAAGTTGGGTAAAGTCCAGTTATAGTTATTGGCGTAACCACCCATTCCGTTGCCAAGGTGATTGTCACGTGACCAGGCGGATTCGCGGCACTCGGGAGGATCGAGGCCATATGACGGGAACCTCTTCCACGTTGCATTCATTGCCTTGTAAAATAATTACAAAGGATTACTTGTTGAGGAGAAACACACAATAAAAAAAATATCTACACGTGCGCACCACGCCTCTTATTTAGGCAAGCAGTGTTTCAATGTACGAATCACAAAATCCACTATCCACAAAAAGAAAAAAAAAAAAAAGGGTACACCAGGGCTCGACACTAGCTTTTCAACTTACTAGCCGAGTGGCTAGTGACAACTTAGATGTTACAACAATTTTAGTTTGGTTACTAGCCAAACTGGCTAATGAAAATCGAAAACCACTAGCCAAAACTGAATTTCTACTAGTCTGTGGTCTGTTAGCTATCATTAGTGGCAAGCAAGACTTTTACACTTTTAAGAAAAATTCATACTTCAATCTAACCTTTCAAGTACCATTCACTACACTTAAATCATAGTTATGTAATAGACTAACAAGGATGTGCCAATGGATGGGGTCATATTTTCACGACTGGATTGACTAAAATAGGGTTAGGAGTCGCACACTTTCTAGATTTTGGGGAAAAAATAAGTTAAGTGGGGATTAAAAAATGGGAAGATTCCCAATTACAAACTTAACGTGCTACTGAGACCAAATTTAGCGTTTGCCAGATTTTTCACTTTTTAGAATCCTTAACGGCTACTTACCACTCTCGCGAAATTTGGAATGAAAATTCGAAGTGGAAGTCTGTTTTTTTTAGCCTTGTTTCCCTCGATTCAACGTCCGCCATTAAAACAAAGATGGGGTCTCAGTTGGCCACAGATTAGAACATAATGTATGGGGTAGGGGTTTTGAGAGGCCAGCAGCAGAATTAGTCGAAACTATGACAACATTTGAGGAATAACCAAGCCATCAGTTGTATGTTTTCACAAAAAAAATCATAATGATAATAACTTGGCAAAATGCACGGCAACAGCAAGCGCTCACAATGTTCTCTGTCCGATTACAAGCATGACACGTACACTGTCCTATTTGACCAGTCGCATTCAAGAATTTTGTTACAGTCTTGTGTACTGTACCATCTGTACCGTCTTGTGTACTGCACCTAATGCAGAATTGTTCTATCAGAATAATAGCTGCTATACCTTGCATTCCTCTTCGTTGTTTGGTATTCTGTAATTCCTCCATCTCTTGGCTTTCAGGTATTCTTTGGGTAATACACAAGCATAGCGATCTTTCACGTTCTGGCTTTCTGACTGGTACAATTTACATCTTGAAATGTCATTGGTTAACACAGCAATGTCCTTCCAAGGGGTGGGGTGCCAGTAAGGGTAGTAGTCCCTCTCTTCTGGACATTCATAGCCACGCCTTGTTCCCCCAGGGTTTTGCCTGGTTGCAGTGGCAGATAATCTTTTGAGCTTCTATAGGAACAAAGGCAAGATAGAGTAAACCCTTTACACTCTAACATCAGTATGCATATTCTCCACACTGTTTTCTATACATTTCCTAAAGTGCTAACAAGGAGGATTTGTTTTAGAGCAATAACGAGCTTCTTTAGCAAGTGATCGTTTCCTTTATAATTTCAATATATCAACAAAGTTGAAATGGTAAATTGGCCACCGTTACGATTATAAAAGCTGACGTTTCGAGCGTTAATTAGCACTTTGTCGTCGCTCCGACGAAGGGTTAACGCTCGAAACGTCAGCTTTATAATCGTAACAATGGCCAATTTAACATTTCAACTTTGTTGATATATTGAAATTATTTCGTTACCCCCACCAACGCAGCCCCAAACAGTTTCTTTAGAAACTATCAGCCTTTGATCATTTCCTTTGTTCTAGTGACCTTAACATGTGATCCAGGATAGTTATTGTCCTAAATTGCAGGACCTTCCAAAGAGTGATACCAGAGGGGACTGGGACTCATGGTACACTGAGCAGATGAGTAGAGTAGAGTAGACATCTATATTTATTCAGGATAGCCCCTTCAGTGTAGTAAACACTGGTATCAACAGGGGTCCTGTTACCCACCCATCCCACCCCAGGGGAGGACATCCATCACACAGTAATCTCGTGCGTGGGAAATTAACGTCTCCTACCCCTAACCCTGCAGGAGACGGGACCTCTATTTATTCGTCCCTATCGGAGAAGACTAGAATATCTATTAACCATTTCTTGATGTTAAAGAAAGGTAGCATATTCTTCTCAATTATTTTAAGACCCTGAGTGTTGGTCCGGCCGGGGCTCGAACCCTCCACCTCCCGCACAACAGTCCAGCGCTCTATCCATTGAATCAACCGGGAGGCAGTTATGAAGATAAAAGAAGCATTGATATCTGTAAATTACCTGATCAGCAGTAAAAAGCCCTTTGTTTCTGTTCCTGTATTTACAATCCATGTAGTAATCATAGTCCTCATGCATCCCAAATCTGTCAGGGAAGAATGTGAGTATAAAATTTATGTCAATCAAGCCAAGCGGCTCATCCAGCCACAGGGGCTTAGCCAGGATTTTTCAAAGGGGTAGGGGGTGGGGGCCGCACTATCAAACAGAGGGTGCTAACCAGATTGTCATATCAACCTCCATGCTGTGTTTTACTTGGAAAAGGCATGAAAAGAGGGGTCATGTGCACCCTAGGACCCCCCCTGAGTATATAGGATCTCTGTAGCAACTGAAGAAACAACTAGGAGTATTTCTTTAACCCAGTGTATCACAAATGAGTGAACAAGACAGAACTTCTTCTTACAATATCAACACAATATTAAGCAGACAAGTGATGGGAGTAAAAAAAAAATTTATCAATTAGGGGGTCATTAGTTCATCCAATACCAAATTAAATGAGATAACATTCTAAGAATTGTATGGCAGACATGGAGGAGAATCACAAGTGATTGGAAGTGAAAGGGTTAATTTCCTGGATGGGATGGCTAGTCTATTGAAGGTTACTTCCCTACCCCCCCACAAACCCTCCCCATATTGACAAGCTTCCTTGGCTAATAGCTTGTTGGTACTCACAGGATTCTTGTTAAGAGGTGGTAACTGGTTATTTTTGCTGGCCATTCAAGTAAATGTTACCGGCTAGTTCACTGAAACCCGCAACTGAAACATTTACCGAAGTTATCAAACAATTTTTTTCAATTTTTGGGAAAAATATTACTGGTCTCCAACCAATGTTGTGAAGATATCTATCACATGTTACTGGTTTGAAAATACATCATATGTTGAAGAAATCCTGCTTTTTTTTACCAAATTCATTCCTTGCAGCCAAACAAAAAGGCCCAGCATTTATCAAGAAATGTCACAGTTGAAAACATGGCATCCACATGAGGAAAACCTGCCCCCAGACCCCCGTGTGGGCCTTTGTGGCCTGCACACCCCAGCATGGGGGGGAAGGTAACAAAGTTACCAGCTATTTCTCATTTTTTACCTCCCAGGAAAAAACTTAGCAAGAACCCTGGACTCATTAATAGTAGGGACTTTAAGCAAACCTTGATGGCTATGGCAACAAGAACTTGGAAAAACAATAGATCTAATTGGCAGAACAATAGCCCAGCACATGCATTTTAAAACTTTGTACATTTCTTAGTTGTCTTTTCCAAAACAACAACGTGAAATCACCAAAATTTGCATCGTCTGCAAAGCAAAACCGCAGCGGCAAACTATTTTAATTTACATTTAGAACTCAACGCTACTTATATGCGTTATGTCGAGTTTGAGGTCTGGCGCCCTATGAGACGGTAAACACATGCAGCCATTTTCGAAATTCTAATTAAAAGTCGAAACTCATTTTTTAATTGACATCTTCCATGGCATTGCCGTCCTGACTGCTTAAAGTCCCTACTGGCAGGCAGAGAGAGGCACTGTGAGAACAAAGTGTTTTGCCAAACAACACAACACAATGACTTGTACAGGTCTCAAAGAAAACCTTTTCAGGGTGCAAAAAATACTGGAAGTTTTACCACTCACCTAACATCATTGTTACAGTCATAACTCTGGCACAATGCGGGATTGTCTGGAATGGTTCTGGAAGAGAATTGATACAGGAATGTGACAAAGATGTCAGATTTGAAACCTGAAGAACCAGTTGCTAAGAGATGAAAAGTTTAAAGACTTACTGTGTAGTGATTCCATCGCGTACATTATCCCCACACATGTACTGTAAAATCATTTCACAATGGTTGTTTGGGTCTGCACAAGAATGTTGATTTGTCCTGAAATGATTATTAACAAAATATCATTACAATTATATCACTTCTAATAATCTAAGAGACAAGCTATCCATGAGTCAAAGCAATGTTTTCATGGGTTCAGTTTTGTTTCTATATTACGTGTCAGAATGCTCACCAATAAATTAGACTTCTGGTATGGAAGTAGCTAATATGCACACCCATACCTAACCTTGCAAAGTGACCATGTGGACCCATCTCTATTTTTCTAACCTTGTCCTAGATTCTAAACCCTGTTGCCTTGTCACCTGCCATGATAAATAATTCAACCTAAACAGCCTATACCCCTTCAAACCATGCAAGTGACTAGTGTAATGTATTTATTCAGGTTGGTTTAAGTGAAATAAACACAACTTTCAGACTAACTGCTTAGAGTTTTTGTTTATCTAGATGGCGCCTGGTTTTTCTCTGTCTGAAAACGAGGCTCGCATAATTACAAGCGCGCCAAAGATAAGCATACATTACAACTAGCTTTTAATTTCTTCTTTCAGTATCACTCCAAAATCAAACATTATACGGTCATGAAAATAAAGGAAATCAGGGTTCTTGTTAAGAGCTGGTAATCTGTCACTTTTACCAGCTGTTCAAGTAAATGTTACCGCTGGCTATTTCACTGAAAACTGGCACTGAAATATTTACTGAAGTAATCCAATGATTTTTTTCAGCTTTTTTTTTAAAACTATCATTGTCTCCTTTGAACCAATGTTGTGAGAATATCTATCACACGTTACTGGTTTGAAAATACATCATATTTGAAGAAATCCTGTTTTTTTTTACCAAATTCATCCCTGGCAGTCATCTCATGAAATGACTTAGCCATGTTTCCTTTCCATTCTTCTCGCGGCCAAACGAAAAGGCCCAGCATTTATTGGGAGGCATCATGCTTGACAACATGGTGTCCACACTTCCGTGGAAAACCTTCCCTTAGACTCTGATGGGGGCCTATGCAGCCCACACACCCCCAGCATGGAGAGAAAGTAACAAAGTTACCTGCTATTTCTTATTTTTCACCTCCTAAAAAAAACTTAGCAAGAACCCTGGAAATGATTGCAAACTAAAGAAGCTCTTAACTGCTAAACAAATTCTACGTGTCAGCACCATAAGAAATTTATGATAGAAAACAGTTTAAAGAATATTCATTACGATATTAGGATTTAGAGGGCTAATATTTGCATGAGCAATGTAGGATAAATCTGATTGAAAAATAAATTTATGAATCTTCTAAAGGATTCTCACCACTCAATGGACAGGATTGAGCCTTCGTAATAATACAACTTTCCAACATTGTAACCACCACGGTTGTTGTTCTGGGAGTCAAATAACCTGTGCATGCAAATGTAAACTCTTGAGACTAAGATATTAGCTCTTAAATGATACCAAAGCACAAAAGAGCACCTGGTGAAGCACATTGTTGAAAATCAAAAATGCGTTGAAAAAAATGTCTAAAGTTTTAAAAATTAAAAATACATATTTATCACCTGTTTGCATTATTTCTTTCTCTCCGAGCTTCATCAAGACGATTGTTGCTTCCTCTGAACATTGGGAAACAAAACAAAATAATTTAGGACTTTATTTAACTCTTACTTGTGACCTGACTATAAGTACAGTATTGATCTACAGACAGATCAGAGAAAATTCTTTAAGCTTCCGTTTCATCATTATGAGCTACAAAGTGAGAGGAGCCTTACTGATAGTGCAAGATTTTTTAGAAACACTGAACGTGTCTCCATGAATTTTTGCCGTGTAACAGCTCAACTACTATGGAATAATTTTTGTCAAAGTTTTACTGAGACGTGATATGCCAACTAATATCAAGTTTGTATCTATAACTTTCAAAATTAAAATTTAAGGGTGTCATGCCTCAATAAGGAAGAAGTATACGACATTTTCAACTTCCTTATTTGAATTTTAAGTTAGCCGTTTTCACATGGAAACGGCTGAACAAACAAATTGAAAAAAAACTAAAAAAATTTACGAATTATTCGATAGTTGTAATTAACGCTGAAGTTAAAGATTAACCACGACAGTTAAGGTTTTTGCAACATTAAGACGTTTTCAACTTTGTGCTGCTGTACAAATACGAAGTTAAAGAGCAACTGTTTGTAAGAAAAACATCCAACTTGAAGAATAGTTGGTATTCGAATATGTTAAGAGCTTGTCAAATTGACAAACTCTTGTAAAGTACATCCATAGAACTACAGATTTACACTTCCTTTCCACTAATTATATCAAGATTGTGATTTCACGGAGGAGAAGTTAAGGTCACATGCGACCTGATCAGAAGATAGAGAAAACATTTTAGATTTAAAACGAAAGTATTGGTTTCTCTCACGGTTTATCGATCAAGCGCAGGAACGTGCCAAATTCATTAGCGCTCTATTGTTAATAATTCTATTTTACCAGCATAAAAATGGTTTAAGAAAAGTTGTCTTACCTCGGATTGTGCATATAAATGTCGCCTGCGACTAAATTCCACAAAAGCGAGACTAATAGAACGAAATTCATTTTCACTTTCCCGTGGACACTTCGCGATATCGTAATCTAGTCTGTTCCGTATGGAGGTGTGTGTAAATTATTTGTTTTTCTCCCAGATAATACTACCAAATATAGGCATCTAGGTGACTTCCGGGGTATGACATCATTGCGAAATTTAACGAAGTCGCGTGACACAGGCCATTTGTTAGCCGGCGGTGTTAATAGACCCTAATACTGGGTGAAAATTCTTGTTTTAGAAATTTAATCCTAAATTTTACTAATTTCGGTCATTCAAGAACTAAATGAACAGCATTCTGTGACTTAGTGAAAATCAAATACAGAGCCATCTTTAGCCACTAAACTGAGAGAGGAATGGAATAAGGTAAAGAGTTATGCAAGTAACAACAAACATATGAAACATATGAAGAATCGTTAATTAATTCGTTAGTTATGCAAGTGTCATCCAAACCGTAAGACTTGCATAAAACAAACCATCTGATTCAATGTTAACTAGGTATTTGTAGATAAAGCAGTACTAAAAATCGAGATAAAGCGGTAAGCTCTGTCAAAAAGTTATTGAAAAGTCAAACTTTGCTATCGCACGATCTATTGGCACTAAAAATATATTGCAGTGATAAATATCAAAGGAATACTCTTGTTTCATAATTTTCTTATTTAGGACTGAGTTGTGTTATAACTATGTTATTAAATCTACATGTTACAGCGTTTTAGTATTATCTCAGCCACCTCTGTGACAGACCTCAAAGAGGAGTCTGAAAAGAAGATGACATGCATATGTCACACAATATAAGGGTACAGTTTGTGACAGTAGTCACACAATCTACTGGAGCACGTGTGTCTTGGTTCCAAAGTGGCAATAACTGCACAGGTAGCGCAAGCTCACGTCTCGAGGAAAAGCTAGGGATTGTTTCATGAAAGCGTCACGCGTTGTGTGAAGCGGTGTTAAGTTACGCAAGCAACCTTTGAGAATTTGAAAGCGTCATAAGGAACGAAATATGGTCCATTTACATGTAAGACACTGAATATTCCGAAATATGAACATTTTGCATGTAAGATTGATAAGACTTACTCACTCTTAGTGTGTGTATTGTGGTTTTTTTCGTCTGATTACAGGAAAACTGGGATGGTAAAGCAAGCCCAAAACAGCAGAAATCGCCAAAAACCACAAAGGACATACCTAGATAAAGTAAATATTAATAATCTTACATGTAACATGATCATATTTCGGAATCTTTAGTGTTTTAAATGGGCCATATTCTGTTCCCCATACTATTCCTTATAACGTATTCAACTTGCGTAACTGAACACCGCGTCACACAACGCGTGACGCTTTCATGAAATAATCCTTCGCTTTTCCAGTGGACGTGAGCTTGGGACACATGGTGAGTGCAGTAAAATGTGTTTTCCAATTCATGTAGTGAGCTACATGAATTACAACTACTTTAACTGATCTACTTTAGTCACCATAACACGTTTCGCTGTTATCTATTCTATTTTTATATTATTACGTCATGATATGTTTACTATTGACACGAATTTTAAATTTGAATATTGCTCATGTAATTAGTCTGCTCCTGAGGAAGACCGAGACGGTCGAAACGTCGAGCTAATAAACCAACAAAGCTACATTGGAGTTGGCCTCTTGACCATTACATTTCTGCTTTTATTTACGTTATTTCAAGAGCCGATGATTGCTTCAGTGATCCTCCAGGCAGCGTGTTTGAGACTGATCAGCATTGTTTGTGGGACCCCTTACAAGCTTCTACTTCTATATATATAATATATTCTAATATATATATTCCCCCATCCTAGCATCAGCACTGCACTGATGAGGCCCAGAAGGCCGAAACAGATTTGTCTGCAGTTAGTTATATATATTATATGTATATTAGAATAAAGGAATCAATAAAGGAATCAATCAATAAAGGAATCAATCAATAGATACTAGAGAATTGTATGTTAACCCTCAAACTTCCAGAAGTGATTAACATGTATTTTCTTCCCAAAATATCCATACATGATCCAGTGTACAGGTAATGAGAATACTAAAACTTATCAGGTAAACGTTGTTACATTCATGTCATACCAAATTCTCATAACAGAAGAGCCAGAACATAATAAAAGATTATTGTTCAGGCTGCAAAAATGCATTTAAATTACAACATCAGTGTAAGGTTTTAGGGTAAGAACTTTACAACCTATGGCATATCTAAGATTGTGTAAAGAGAACTGGAATGTAATAATGTCTCCTCGTGTAATTTTCTAGGCAGGAGGGGTGGCTGGAACTGCAGTAGATCTGATTTTGTTTCCACTTGACACTGTGAAGACAAGACTGCAATCAGCAGAAGGTTTCGTCAAAGCTGGTGGCTTCAGAGGAATATATTCAGGGATTGCTTCAGCCGCAAGTGGTTCTGCTCCAGCAGGTGAAGCAACCATGACTCTTTTTCCTGAGCCATTCATTTTTAACCCTCCACACCTTAATATCACTGGAGGCGCGGTGGCCTCATGGTTGGTGCATTCAACTCCGGATCAAGTGGTCCGGGTTTGAGCCCCGGCCAGGGACATCGTGTTGTGTTCTTAGGCAAGACACTTTACTCTCACAGTGCCTCTCTTCACCCAGGTGTATTAAATGGGTACTGGCGAATTTAATGCAGAGGGGTAACCCTGCGATAGCCTAGCATCCCATCCAGGGGGGGTAGAAATACTCCCAGTCGCTTCATGCTATGGAAACTGGAGTTAAGCGCCGGCGCGATGAGCCACATGGCTCCTGAGTGGGCTTTACCTACCTTAATTCAGTATTCGTACTCTCCACATGAAGCCCTCTACGTTTCCTGTGGTAATGAAAAGGAGAATTTGATTGATAATCAGGAGCTTCTGAAATTGGTGATCATTGTCTCAGTTTTCTCATGACCTTAGTATTTGAACCAAGGGTTGTACGGAAATGAGAGGTTAGAAGCTGTTTACTCTTAGAGGTTTAAGGGTTAACCCTTCACTTCCTATGACTGATCAAGACAGAATTTCTCCTTACAATATCAATACAATATGAAGCAGACAAGTAACGAGAATAAAGAAAAAAATCAATTAGGGATTATTAGTTGATCCAACACCAAATTCTCCAGACTGACATCATAAGAGTTGTAGGACAGAAAGTTAGGAGAATAAACAATGAGATCTTGGGAGTGAATGAATGGAGAAAAATAAATCTTTTACTAAATTTGGATTTGATATTCATCTCTTTCAGCTGCTACATTCTTTTGTACATACGAACTGACCAAGAATGTTCTCAAACCAAGGACTTCATCAAAAATGTTTCCATTTGTACACATGTTTGCTGCAACTCTTGGTGAAGTTGTAAGTAACTTTTAATCTTTTAAATCTTAAGATCCACCCAAGTTTGTATTTTTATTTCATAAATACTGAGATTTACAATGTGAAGTACTCTTTTTTTTTGTCTCTGATTGAATGAACGATGTATTTTCACAGTCATTCACTTCTAATCTTTGAAATGTGTTGGTCAGTAAGAAAAAAATCTCAGTATGTATGAAATAAAAAAATCATACCATGGAAAGGGCTTGAATGATTTTTATTCATGAGTTGTAACGCATTTAAAAAACTTACTTTTTCTCTGTACTCACTCTTTTGGTTTTTTTTTTTTTTATGCAATGCAACTTGTGAATTAAAAAAATCATCCATGCAGACTTTCTATGGAATAATTTTTTTTTTTTGACATAAAAACCTGAACAAACATCCAACCTGTGGAAGTGCCACAGCTATTTCAAAACTTACATTCAATACAGTATGTTCTTTTTACATTTACATAATAATTCTATTTATATGACAGGTATCACTTTTTGTGAGAAATCCATTTGAGGTTGTAAAGCAGCGAGCTCAAGCTTAAATCCACATGAACAGTGTTCAAGCTCTAAAGTACACCCTTGTACAAGAGGTACCCACTACTTCTCTTTGGAAAGTATTTGCCACATTGTACACTTAGCAACTTCAAATCATGTTCATAGAACTGTTTTTTAATCGGGTCAATAAATATATCTTATTAACCAAGTGCGAGGGCCGTACTGGGAGAATATCGGCCCAAGGTCTTGACAGTACCGACTGAGCGCATCAAGGTCTGTACAAAAAAGGACCGAGGGCTGATATTCTTTCAGTACGGTCCTGAGCAAGCTTGGTTAATAAGAGATTTATTATACGACTGAAGTTCAAAGGGACACAAGTGTGGCAGCATTCGGGA